AGACAGATAAACCGTCTTCGCTCAGAATCGTTTTTCGTATACAATGATATAATATCATTGGATTCAAATTTAATTCCATCCATTACAGTAATCCACTTGTAACCTACTGTACATCAGAGTGACATCCACGTTACCCGCTTTTTTTTAATATGAACTGTAGATAAATTGATCTAATAGTAAACACTGAAATTTACAGATTATTCAATTACAAATAAAATACTTATTTTGAAAAATTAAAATGAATTAAAATTCATTTATCATTTTTATACAAATTGTTTCAGAAATTTCAATTTAATTTTACAGAATTATAGYATAGTTTTATGGTCTCAACTCTTGTCCAAAAAATATTGAGAGATGAAATGGAAATAYGTCAGTATTAAAAGTTAAATAAATCATCATACCTTTTTACACAAAGTTTTAACATTTCATATGGTGTGGATTCAGTAGATTGAGCACAAATTTGCGGTATTATAGTATCTTTAATGTTTAATTTGTCAAAAATCTGAAAACATAATAAAAATTGAATAATTGTAGTATCTGATTTGGCACTTGTTAAAAATACTTACTTTGTATTGTTCAAGATGATTATTCTCTWGAATTTCATTCCTAGTTAAAYTAAAATTATCAGTTTGAAAATGTTTGACAGAAGGTAATAARATTTGAAGAGTTGCTCTCGCAGAATCCATTTTAGCTTGTTTTTTGGTAGATCCTGTACCAATACCATATTTTATTCCATCTAAGATTACTGTGCATAAATAAGGGTATTTGCATTGTTCTAAAAAAAAATTATTATWTAGATAATAATATATACAATTATACACATTMATCATTTTCTATTTTAAACTAACCAAGTTCTTTAACTACAAATGAATGATTTGAAGTTTTCAATACACGTTGAATGTATTCATGCAATATTCCAATGTAATTTGTACCTTTTAAATTAATTATGTATTGCAGGTCTTCAGGATTAAGTGCTTTACCCTCCTTTTTAACTAAAATGTTAAATATATTAAATAAGCATTAGTGGAAAAATGATATATCAATAAAAATGGGTAAAAACTATTATATTCAAATACCAAATATTGTAATATATATATAAGTTATATACATATTATACACAATAATAATAATAATAATAATAATAATAATAATAATAATACAGTGTGTTATGCATGTGGTAATTGGTACAGAATCAACCGTTAATTGGAATAATAAAAAAAAAAATGCTAAACCAAATCTTATGTTAATAATGTTAAATTTAATTATTAGAATAACTATGAGCCAGATAATAGAACAATTTTTATTAATACCTATTATTTTCAATTTATATAACTAAAAATAAAAGATCTTAAATATTGRTTTTAATTTCAAACTAAAACAAAAATTATATTAGAAGATTCTGGAGTATCTAAAATTGTAAAAAGATAGTGTCTTAACTTCATTTTAAATGGACTTTTTGATTTTAATTTTTGTTATTATTATTATTATTTTTAAATTTAATTTTAAGTATTTGTATAAGTATTGAATTATCAAAAGAAAATATATGTTTTATGGAATCAATCAGTTAATAAAATCAAAATGATCTGAGCCAATCTGATCATATTAATTGGAACTCACTGTAGTACTAACTTTATTTTTCTCTTACCAATRGAATCAAGAGCAGTTGAAACTGATGCTGATCTTTGAAGATCTTTTGTTTTTGAATCGGCCTTTTGTTTGCGTATATATTCCCGGCGCTTCACCCACGAACTAAACAGAAACAACAGTAGGTAAGATACATCAACATTTAAATACCAGCTCTAATAAAGTTAATATTTTAATAATAAATATTTACTTAAATTTATAAACTTTAATATTCCTAAATTTGAATATTTTACTACAGTAGTTTCGATACTCTTCGTGGCTTAATGTTAAAGGACATCCTAAAAAACAATTTTAAATTTGTATAAAATCATGATTGATACTTATAATACAATAAAAATATTGTGCAAATATTACTGTTCAAAGWAGAGGCTGAAGAAGAGGTTGCTTCAACATTTTTATCATTCTTGGTTTCATTTTTCAATTTCTGATTCAAACAAGGWATATTTGCTACTGGAATTTCATGGTTCTAAAAATTAAAATGCATTAAAAAAATGTTGATAAAACAAAAATAATTTTAACAGTAAATTGCTAATAAACATTTACTTTAAGACTGTTGGTTCCTAGAAAATATGGTTTTGAAAATGAACATACTCTTGTTTCTGTATTCATATAAATTGGCATACCACTATCATGTTCTATTTTTTCCCATCCTTTTGGTAAATCATGATCATTATAACTGTTTTCATCTAAGCCAAATAAAGCTAAAAGTTATTAGTTAATACTAACAAGTTTATTAAAATTTACCATATTCATGAGTTATTTCTTCTTTTATGTATTCTTGTTTCGTAATGGTCTCGTCAATATATTCAGTCTAAACATGATTAAAAATACAATCAGCAAATCATTGTATGTTGTGACTATTASTACTTATACCACCTCAGTTAAAAGTTTTAARGTTAAGTTAAAATTTTTTTGCAGAAAAAGTAAAAAAGTAATTAGGTAGGTAAAATATAAGGTAAATATCAGTTCAGAAATTTAGGGTGATAGAGTATCAGAATTAT